ATCTTCATGAGATTTGTGGCAGTGACAGAGTTCAAATGGAAAGACACTGGATCACTTAGAAAATGCTTATGTCTTTGGGAGATACCTTGACAGATCTCTTAGTGGCTTCTGGCTGGGCCATTCTGATGGCTTAGCTATGTTGGACACTGATCCCCAGTGATAGACATCAGCCTGTCTCCATTTCCTGGAAAAAAAAAACCAAGTGGGAGCTTCCCCCATAGGTAATTTACTACCATTCCCACAATGGCAGCTGGAGTTATCTACAGCTATGTGGTTGATTCTTGGAAGACTAAAAATTGGTCTCAATATGTGCAGAAGGGTCTATTCAAAATGTGTGGACATAGCAGAACCAGAAACAACTTCAGTGTTCTGTTCCATGCTATAGATGAGCCTTGTCAAGGCCCTGGAGCTCTGAGTTTCTGAGTTGGATGAGTTTGACTCCATGATATTAAGCAGGATACCCAGGATACCCATGGGCAGTGGGAATTGCATGGTGTCATGTAGAGTGTTTAAATGGCAGAGTTTTGAATGTCAGCATGTCCTTGAGTGTGGGAGCACGGATGGCATGTGAAAAATGAGGTGGGGATGTTCTGGTACACATGTTCCCTAGTTTGCTATCTCTGTTGAAAGAATGTTCTGGTTTCTATTGTGAGTTGCTTCCTTATCAGGGGTGCGTAGTCACATGGTTTCAGCGGCCCCCTTCCTAAGCCATCAATATGAAGCAGGGCAGCTGGGGAAGCCCATTGTGGACCTCACATTCAGGCTATTGAGGCAGGTGAAGCAGTTCTCTGACATACACAGCAAGTCCTGTCACTGGTCTGTTGGTTTTGTTAGAGAAATTCAAATTTCTGAACCATGATTGTCATGCTCTCAGGGCCCACATTGGCAAAGAATCTGAGGAGCCGTGTGTAGTGGCACATGCCTGTAGTACCAGCTACTCCAGCGCTGGAGGCAGGAGGATCGCTTGAACCCAGGAATTTGAATCCAGCCTGGGTAACAGAGCAAGACTCTGTCTCTAAAAATAAAATAATGATCTGATACTTTGGTCAAATGCCTAATCCCCCTTTTACCTGGAAGCAAAAAGAAAAGGAATAATGAAAGAAACTAAATTGGAAATGTTAATAAGAATTTAAACCTAGCAGACCTTTTTGTATCACATAGATTTTGGTATATAAACATCACAAAAGACAAAAGAATACTACCACATGTCCTTTTTTTAGCAAAATAAGATGGTCCAGGTTCTTGCTGCAAAATATCATGTGATAAAATCTCTATCAAAGTGGGTAAAGAGCATCATATTTTACCTTAGAATTATATCATTGACTTCTGGATTCTTGATTTGAGAAATTCATCTAGGATATCATCATCTGAAGACTCATAGTCTGAGATTTCTGTTGTGCAATCAGTTCTACAATTATTAGTATCTGGAGTGCTGTGTCTTGTCTCTTATATTCCTCTTCTGGTTCATCTAATGGTTGCAAAATATCTTCCTTTGTTAATTTTCTTCTCCTTGCCATCACTAGTAGATAATGAAAAAATTTGAATTCTTAACTGCATTCAATGAAAGCTAAAAGCAGACTATGAAGACAGGGTCTCCAATCTTAAAAAAAATACTTCTTGAAAGAAAATACAATGCTTTACGCATGGAAGAATAATGACATATTACTATTTCTTCTTCCTTCTAGGCAGCATCACCATTCTACCCTTTTCTTACAATATAATAATTGATGAATAATGATGCAATAATTTCTTGGATGATAAAATAGTAAAATGTTTCAAGATACAGGAAAAGCGAAGTCAGGTGCTAATAATGAATCTTGGATTTATAAAAGGATCTAATGGATCCATATGGTGATTACAGGATAGAATGAGTTTTATCCTATTTTTTAAATGAATACATATTCTCTCTGATCTTTGAAAGACCGCTAAAATATACAAAAGCTATGAAATATCAATACTCACAAGTATAGTTAGAACTGCTCAAAAAGAAACTCAAAACCTGCAATTGAGTCTGATAGACCTTGTCTGGCCTCACTGAATACAAAGATCCAGGGATCTCTAGATTTCTATTTGCTTCAAGGTAGAATAAAATGTTTTCAGGTTATGGGTCAGAAGGATCAGAATATCTGACACTAACATATTTTCTTATTTAGAGGGCGTCCAAGTGGCTGTTGTCAATGCCAGCTATACTCAAATTGCAGACTGGACAACAGCTTAAACTGTCTTCTCTTGCCCAGCCCTTTTCTCCATGCGTAGATTACATCCTGTCGCTATAAGCCGTAGCGTTAGGGGGCTGGTCAAGAGACATGGGCTTCATTACACCTAAAATGATGGCGCTGCTCATATCCAATCCACTTGCTTTAATCTGCTACTGTGAAACTCATTGAGCAAGAACATCAGAGACACACAAACCCAAGATTGAGCCACAGCGCCCTCTGGTGTGATTGTACGGTGAAGCGAAAGCCAATTTCTGTGACTTGTAGGAAATCATTTGTAAATAGTGTTTCTAAAACGAATTTACCTTCTTTCCAGGTGGGTGGATCCCAGGCACTACAGACTCTGGTAAGAACTTTTCTTCACTCCTCTTCCCTGGTGGGGTTTGTCAGTTTCCCTCTGTTGCTGTTGGCTGGCTGAGGCTGATCACAGCTGTGGTCACAGAGTAAATGCCCACCTTGTCGAATGCAGGAATGCTGGGGACGGAGAGGGGGGCAGGAGACATGGTACCAAGACCCTTGGCATGTCCCAGGTGCACACCCAGTCAATCCCAGATGTCATCCTCTTTCTTGCTCTCTGACTCTCAGTCATTTATCAGATAAGATTAGCTTCAGTTTGGTGTGAAGAGAGGTAGTTGAAACAAAAGGTCAGTACCTCTGCTCCTGGGTTGAAGCGATTCTCCTGCCTCAGCCTCCTGAGTAGCTGGGACTACAGACACATGCCAGCATACCCAGCTCATTTTTGTACTTTTAGTAGAGACGGGGTTTCACCATGTTGGCCAGGATGGTCTCGATCTCTTGACCTCGTGATCCGCCCACCTCAGCCTCCCAAAGTGCTGAGATTACAGGCATGAGGCACGCACACCCGGCTCCCCTTTTCTTTTCACTAACAATGACAGATATCTGGAAGATAACTAACATCTACTAAGCACTTGTTATACATCCTGTATCAAATGATTTTCATGTATGAAATGAGTTGATATATTTTAAAAAGTCTTAAAATACCACGTGGCACACAATAAGGGCTCAACTAATGCACATAGTGAGTGCTGTTATGAAATCTTCCCAAGAACACTTTGAGCTAAGTAATATCATTATGCCCATTTTGCATATGGGAAAAGCAGGGCACAATTAGGTAATTTGTCAATATTTTTGTGTCTAAGGTCATGTGTCTGGTGAGTAGCAGGGTAGAGATTTGAGTTGAGAATAGGTGCCTCCTTCTGCCCCTGCCCTGGTCTTTGACTTTGGCTCAATGTGCCTGCCTCTCCAGTGAGAGTGTGAAGACCTTTGTGCCCAAGTTTGATTTTGCAGGGTCTCCTATGTGTTCACTTAGGATGACTCTGCCCCTGGGCCCTTGGCACTGTTGAGGCCAGTCCCTCCCCTTCCAGGACATGCCTTGAGAGATCCAGAAATGGCCTGGGAAAGGCAGCTTTCTGACCAACATGCAGCAAGGAAAAGGCTAAGGCAGGGAGACTGAGCACTCTTCTGGAGGGATTATTCACAGGGTGACCAGGAAGGGACTCATTGCCTCGCTGCACCCCTAGGTTCATCTCTGATCCAGAAGAGGTGCAGAGGACATAGAAGGTAGGAAGTTTAGCTCTTAAGGGGGGCCCTTCTGAATAAGGCCTCAGGTCTGAACAGGCACCTCTTCCATGGTTTATGTACCTGAGACTGGGGAGGGACAGAGCATGGGAGGTCCAGAATGCACCCTGGGGATGCCCTGAAGATGGTCCAGCTGGCCTTTCCTCCCTCTAGGAGGAAAAGCAACCTGCCCCCTCCCATTGCATCCCATTCCAGCCTCTCACTCTGTGACCACAAGTTTCTTGTAACCTCAAACTCACCATTGAAAAGCCATACCCAGGATTTGGCTCCCACCATTAGGAGGGTGGGCTGCTCCCTCGGGACCTGTGCCTGTTTTCCTCGCACCGTCAATGCAGCTTACCCCGGTGGGTGGCCTAGCGGCATTGTGTCTGGCAGGAACATGGTGCGTTTTGACTTCCCAGCATGGCCAACTCCGTGGTGGGATGCAGGCTGTCTCAGCCCCTCCCAGGAGAGGAGGCTGGAAAAGTAGGTCGAGGCTCGCTCTTGGACTTGATTCTGATGGAAGTGGAGAGTGTATTAAAGCATTTTGAGCAGGGAAGTGAGGTGAATACATTTGTACTTTGTAAAGATAAAACTTGGAGACCATCTGGAGACCGATGAATCCTCTTAGCACAAAAACGAATGCAGAGTAAGCACTTCATCAGTGCTGGTTGAGTCAATGCATGTGGATGAACTAGAGAAAGGAGGAGCAGAGATTGAAGATTCAGCTGGGAGTAGGCCAGTTTCAAGGGGATGAAGGCCTACCCCGGTGAAACGGCAGTGAAAATGACAAGGAAAGGAACTTGGTGATGTTAGATACAGGATGTGAGGAGAAGGAGGAGTCCAATATGATGCCCTCATTCCCAGCATGGTTGATGTGGAGCATGGTGACATCCTTAATTTAAATGGAAAGAAGAGGCGGTGTTGAGTTTGGGATGATGTATGGGGTGGGATGGGCAGGAGGCCACTGAAAATGCTGGTCTGGAGATTAGAGCTAGTCTGTCAGGGCTGAGTCAGGGACAGAGAGGTGGATTTGGGGGCCCTCTAGAAAGTTCTCAGAGTCCGTGAGGTTCTCCAGGGGGAAGATACAGAAGGAGAGGGGGGCAAAAACAGAACATGTAAGCACAGGGATATGTAAGGTCTGGTCAGAGGGAGAAAGTGGAATGAGGGGGGTAGGGATGCAAGTCAAGGGGGCCGAGAGCCCCGGGGTAAGGGCTTCCCGCTGTGTCACTGCAGGTCTGCCTCTGAGGCTGGTGAATGGAGGTGACCGGTGTCAGGGCCGGGTGGAGGTCCTGCACCAAGGCTACTGGGGCACTGTGTGTGATGACAGCTGGGACACCCAGGACGCAGATGTTGTCTGCAGGCAGCTTGGCTGTGGCTATTCTGTGTCAGCCCTGGGTGGGGCCCACTTTGGTCAGGGCTCCGGAAACATTCTCTTGGGTGACGTGCATTGCTCGGGAAGGGAGCCCTACCTGTCAAGCTGTCCCCACAGCGGATGGTACAACCACGAATGTGGCCACAGGGAAGATGCTGGTGTCGTGTGCTCAGGTATTGTGGATATCACCTTGCCCTGTGTATGTGCAAGTCTGAGTCAGTATCACAACACATGAGTTGTGTATGTGCATACATGTGTGCTCTGCAGTTTACTTGCTTTGTTGTAAGTCATGTCCTAGTTGATGTTGGAGAGCAGGTGGTACTGCCCCTTTTCATAGACAGTGAAGGTCAAGGGATCATCTGCCTGTCCATCTGAAGCTGGGCATGGGGGAGGCAGGCTTCGGTCTCAGTCCCTCAGAGCCTGCTGATGCAATCACCTCATAGACTGGTTCTGATGAGCAGCATCACGACCACCCCTGGCCTGGGACACCAAATAAATATCTTCCTAAGTGGCAGTTTCTCCTCTTTTAAAGGCTGAGGAGGATAGGGAACTGCTGGTCCCTAAGACATGAATGTATACCAACATCAAATTGAGGAGTGAACCAAAGCATTCTCTTTATCGGGAATTAAATGACAAATAAAAGATACTTAACATCCTCAGTAGAAAAGAGAGCTTCTCCTGGACCCAACCCAGCAAATCCCAGTGCTGATTTCAATTGTTCACATAGTGCCAGGATGTGTGGACACCAAGGGGTCCTTTGATCCATGAAGAAACCTCCAAGAACACTGTCCCATGGCATGTTCCCGCAGGAGGAGTTTCTGGTTAAACCTTCCACTTCTAGAGCAACTCTGGCATTTGCTGTGTGACTGGACTGAGCCCATGCCACCCTGCACGGGATGTGCCCTTGATATCCAAGCATCAAGTAGGACTGGGCTCCCCATGGGGACATGGCCTTCCATGCAGCCACCTAGTGAGTGGTTTATTTTGGCATTCTGAAAAGGTTGGTTTTCTTTGGAAACCACCTTTCTTTCTAGTTGAATCACCTTCTCAGGAGTATTTCAGTGATGGTGAATATTTGTCATTTGAGGGTGTGTTTGACCTATAGAAACAGACAGATGTCATTTGACATTCAATCCTATGACTAGGAAAGGGCTGTTAATGGACTGGGTGACTTTTTGAATGGAGGCTGTGGCAGCAGAGGAGGTGGGGGGAGAGTAACAAGAGCAAAGGATGCTCGTGTGGCATCCTAGCCAAGCCTATCACCAGTAGAGTGACAGAGCCATTGGCACGTGTTTGGCTTTTGGCAATGGTGGGTACCCTTAGCACCTGTGCTTCCAACCTCTGCGTCAGAGCGGAGGAAGCCATGGGCCAACCCTCTCCAGGAGAGGGCTACCATCAATGAGCTCTTCCTTTCTCCACCCTGCAGCTTCTCTGTTTCCCTCGAAGGCGCCCCTGGAGACAACTGTAGCAGAAGGTAATGTCTACGCTGGGGGATCCCTGTGGGCTTATTACCCAACTGCACCCCTAGGTTCACCTCTGATCCAGAAAAGGCACAGAGGCATAGAGAGTAGGGTACTTAGCTTCCAAGAGGGGCCCTTCCAAATAAGTCCTCAGGTCTGAACAGGCATCTCTTCTATGGTTTGTGTCTGAGACTGGGGAGGAATCAAGTTGAAGATGCATCTCCAAGGAGTTCCAAGATGGAGCCTGTTGTCCTGTCTCTAGAGATTCTGTTATCCATGCAGCTCACTCCTGTTGTCCTCACCCAGCTGTGCTGACCCCTGGCCAGGCTAGGGTGCTGGATCTCTGGCTACAGGGCCTTGAGAGGCAGGTGCATACTTGCTAACATAGCCAAATTTCTAGGACAGCATCCTTGCCCTTGCCCTTTCTCTAAGCCGGTATTAGGCCACCCTTGTTTCTTCCTAACAGAGAGAAATCACAATCCTTAAGCTTATGGGCCAGAGGTCCTGTACATCCCCCTTGGGTACCTCCAGTGAGAAATCTGGGAGACATAGTCAATACAGCCTGGGATTCTGGCAGCCTGGGCTTTGGGAAGGGAAGTCACTTCCCATTTCCCATGGGAAACTTTGGCCCTAGGAGAAGTTCAAGGACAGCATTCTCACCAAGGCCTCTGGCTTGCCCAGGGTTGGCATGGAGCAGTTGGAAATGCTGATGGTATATGCATCAGGCCCTCCTATTCCTCAAGCCCTCTGTTTCCCCCTCCCTCTGGCCCATGGGGTGAGGCCTGACTTAACCTCTTTTTCCTCCCTATGATGAAGAACACAGATAACACTAGAACTGAGGGTGAGACTGGCTTTACTCTTCCCTTTCTATAGGTCATGATGCCAACTACATCCATGGGCTTGACTGTGATTCAGGAAAACTTTTAGGGAATGGGATGGGAGGGCATGTTGTGAGCACACCGTGACCTTCTGGACCCCAGAGGTCAGCTAGAGTGAAGCTTCCTCCATTGCCCATGTTTGTAGGGGTAGGGAGAAATCAGTCAGAATGTGGCGTCTCTAACAGCCTGTTGTGCTTTGGAAGTAGAGACCAGTGGGATCAGAATCCAGTCCAGAGTGACAGCCTAGATCCCCCATCTCCACAGCCGCGTGCTGACCCCAGCCATCCCGGCCAGGAAGATCATGTGCAAAATGTGCTCCATGCTAACTTCCGCGCCCCAGATATGCATCAGAGCTCCTCCCAGGACAACCCGATGTCATCGTGCTGCTCTTCCGTGTGGGGTGTTCTGTGTCCCTTGTCTGAGGGAATCAGGCAGAGCCCATGGTCTGCTTAGAGAAGGGTCATGTGGCTCTCCAGGCCCCCTCCAGGATATAGATTAGGAGGGGCAGGTCCTCTAGCTGAAGCACTAGGCTTGGGTTTGGGCCGAGCAGTCACTGTCCTCTTCCCTATGAAGAATTCTAACCTCAAGGTGTGTTAGAGCCCAGCCTAGTTACAGATTCTCTCAAAGACTCTGAATGGGGAAGACTCTGAATGCCCTGCAGGCCCTTGGATCTTGTCTTTCAGTAGGAATGTGCAAGAGAAATGTTGTGCCTTCCTCTAGGATCCGATTCTGGTTTGGCCCTGAGGCTGGTGAATGGAGGTGACAGGTGTCAGGGCCGGGTGGAGGTCCTGTACCAAGGCTCCTGGGGCACCGTGTGTGATGACAGCTGGGACACCAATGATGCCAATGTGGTGTGCAGGCAGTTGGGCTGTGGTTGGGCCATGTCGGCTCCAGGAAATGCCCGGTTTGGTCAGGGCTCAGGACCCATTGTCCTGGATGACGTGCGCTGCTCAGGGTACGAGTCCTACCTGTGGAGCTGCTCCCACAACGGCTGGTTCTCCCACAACTGTGGCCATCATGAAGACGCTGGTGTCATCTGCTCAGGTAGGCATCAAAGATCTCTGGAGGGTCGGGTGTGGTGGCTCATGCTTGTAATCCCAGCCCTTTAGGAGGCTGAGGCAAGCAGATTGCTTGAGGTCAGGCATTCAAGACCAGCTCTGGGCAAGATGGTAAACCCTGTCTCTAGTAAAAAAAAAAAAAATCATTTGAGCCCATTCTAGGGACAGACTATATTCAGAGAATATAGTAACAAACAGGTTTCTCACTCCAGGGCCCCCACCCTCCAAGCCTTTCCTGGTCATCCAGTGGCTCTGGAGTTTAGCTGGGGTTATCCAGCCTGTGTGTGCAATGCCATGGTGAGCACAGATCCCTAAGCTGCAAGCAGTGCCCCAACATTGGTTTGGAGGTGACTGAGGCACCAGTGTTCAGACACAGGGTCCAGCATGCTGACAGCAGAAATGAGGAACCTTTTATTCTGCTCCAGGAACATCCTCATAACTCATATCCCCTATTTTCCCTGAGGCTTCTTCTCAGGGTCAGCATGTTTTGGGGACCTGGTTGGTGAAGTCTCCCCTCCCCTTCAACACTGTATTACCTTGAGTGCTGTCAAGGTAATACAGTCAGTTCCTACTGACTCAGAGGGAAGGACTCAAGTGTAAATAGTTCACTTATGATTACTGTGAAGAGAGGCAGGGAAGTGGGGTAAGGGTGGGAGGATGGCAGCGAGTGACAAACGGTGGGGAAGCCTCCCAGAGGATCACCAGGAATCCGTGTCAAACCTCAGGCTCATCGCAGCTCAAGGAAGAGTTGGTGTCTTTGTCAACTCATTGCTTAGGGTGGCTGTGTGCTGCTCCCTGCTGTTGATACCCAGGTTGTTGTGGCCAGTCCCAGGCCCCAAAGTGACCTTTATATTCCCAGAGAGTGGGCCGCAGGCACAGAAATGGAGGCAATGCTGGGGTGTGTGGGGTCCCTGAGGGACGAAGGGCTTCATAGCGGGTGCTGGTAGGGCATCAGCTCAGGGTGTCGATACCCCAAGCCACTTCCGCCTTAACTCTAGTTGGGATCTGAGCCGTCAGTCTCCAGTGCCTGCGGAAGTCTGACCTGCAGACCCTGACTCAATGACCGATGAGAGAATGCACTCTCACACAATCCTTGCAGTGATTCAAGTGGGCTAGGGATGGCCGTTGGCTGCTTTCAGAGGGCGAAATGCAACCTGTCGACCCAGACCTTCTGTCCATCACACTTTTATTCCATTGAGATTTTACAGCAGAGATTCTAAGTTAACACACTTGGGGATAATTAACATGGTTACAAGAATGACAAAAGCTTTAGGTTCTGGGAGCCCAGAGTAAATGCTATTAACAGGAAATTCCCCTTTGATCTTTCCCAGAGAGGGCCACCCAGCACGAAATTAACATGAGTAAACAGTTACAGTGGAGACAAATGGGTGTGGCATAAGGCCTTTGATCGTCTCTCTCCCTAACTTAATGGGCTGGCCGGCCACCTTCAGTCTGCCCGAATAAAACCTTTTGGCCTTCCAAAAGGTTTGAGACTAATCTATAACTTTCCCTAATATATCTTAAATATTTTCTGTAATATTTTTGCCAGCCATCCCAAGTGAATCTCAACAGGGGTCACTGAGTGCTTGGTGTCTAATGTTGCATTTTTTCCTCACAGCTGCACAGTCGACGCTCAGGCCAGGTGAGTCCCCACCATCCTTCCCCAGGATGTCCCTTCTCTTTCTGCTCAGTTACCCCTTCCCAACTCCACAGAGCCCTCCTTCTTCTCTGCAGAGATACTCTGGGGCATATTATTACCCCCTGCCCGCTCTCTCTGTAACTGAGACCCCAGCATGGTGCTTCCTAACCACGCATAGTATTCAGCTTCTGCCTGCTCTTCAATCCGTCTCAGCTTTCATCACATAGTTCCATGCTGTCCCAATGGAACGCTTACAGGTTCAGGAAGAGGCCCCCTGTTGAGTGAGCCTCGGCCCCTTTATATTCAGGGCTGATAGAATCTTTCTGAGAATTGTGGGTGATACCCTCTAATGTTCTGTTGAATGCAGGGTTAGTACAAGCCTGATACTCCATGTCCCACTACTTGAAAGATCCCCAGGTTCTGCAGGGCCACATCTGCATCCAGAAGAGGCAGAAGCCATGCTCTGGGGAGAGAAAGGCTAAGAAATGTTTCTGGTGCCGTCACTTACCAGGAAACCTGATTTTCCCCCTAGGTGGACCCCTGGTCCCCCAAACATTTCAGCTGCAAGTATCAGAGTCTTGGCAATGGTGTCAGATGTGCCAGTCAGTCCGTGGGTCAGCGGATGGTGGTTTTGGGGGTGGTGAAGGTTTCCTAACTGAGAAAAGGTCATCCCTGTCTTAGAGAGAGATGGAAGGGCCTGCATGTGTCCTTTGTCTCTGAATCAGTTCCTTGGGCAGGAGTCCTGGGTAGACACATGGGGAGCAATTGGCCAGACCTGGGAGTGGAATCGTTTTCACAATGCTTGCCTGGTCTAGAGAACTGCTTGCTTTTTACCTTTTTCCCTTCAAGTCCAACTGTATCATTTCTCTTTGTTGCTGTTTACAGACACTTGGCCTGCCAGGACATCACCTGTACTCATAGAAGGTAAATAATCCTCTCAGCACTCCCCGGAGCTCACTCTCTACCTCTGGATACACGTTGGATTTTATAGTTCACTTATGATTGCCATGAAGAGAGGTGGGGAAGTGGGGTAAGGGTGGGAGAATGGCAGCAGGTGATAAACAGTAGGCTCAAGGTTGAGCTCGGCACTGGGAACAGGGGTGGGACCTCCCAGAACATCATTAAGAATCCTTAGCCTCATGATAGGATGAGGTGGGTGCCTCACTTCTTCATGTTTCTGTGGGTTGGGTAGAGAGAATGGTGGGGTCTCTGAAGACCCAGAACTAGATGTGGTGTTGGAGGGTGGGAGGTGCTGGTGACCTCTCTCCTGTGGGATCCTGTTCCAAGTGGTCAGGAAAGATCCCCATCCATGTGCTCAGGATGAGCCCTGGGGGGGTCTCCCTAATCTTATGGGGACCTCATTCCTAGTCCTGAGGCCATGGGATGCATGCAGGCCTGGGAAGTAGGTAAAAGTGCCTGTCCTCACACCTGTCTGGTCAGGGTCCTACCATCTCTGGTACTTTGCCAGCCAGATCCCAGACAGGACCGTGCTCCTGATTAAGGGAGGGGTCTGGGCATGCCATGTGCAGCTGTCCAGCTCCATCCTGTGTGTACCCAGACTGGGAAGTGGGATGTCCATTCTTATCACCTCCACTGGGGTCACAGGTGCCCCTAAAACTTGAGCTTCCATAGAGCTGGGCAAAGTAGGCTGTCAGCACTTTCTCTGTGATAAAGCGTATTCTCCGGCCATATTCAAAGGTGACTGCCTGCCTGGGTGACTTTGGCCATTAGAAAGTGCCCTGAGTGTGGAACGTGACTTATATACTAATTTTGTCTTTTCTCTTTGTTGCAATTTATAGACACTTGGCCGACCACAGCCTCAAATGCATCAACAGCAGGTAAATAATCCTCTCAGCCCTCCCTAGGGCTCATTGTCTCTGGACAAATTTTTGTTTGAAACTGATAGGATGAGGTGCATGGTGGGCCCCTCTCTTTTCATGTCCCTGTGGGTTTCATGGGGAGGAAGGTGGAGTCTCTGGGGAGCCAGTTCTGGGTCTGATGTTGGAGGGTGGAGGGTGCTGGTGACCTCTCTCCCGTGGGATCCTGTTTCAAGTGATCAGGAAAGATCCTTGACCAGGTGCTCAAGACGAGCACTGGAGGGCTCCCTAATCCTACTGGGACCTCGTTCCTGGTCCTCAGGCCATGAGCTGGAGACCTCCAAAGAGTGGTGCATTCCAAAAGTGCAGGTCCCTTCACCTGTCTGGACAAGGCCTTGGCATCCCTGGCAATTTGCCAGAAGCCAGAGAGTACCATGAAGGTGTCAATGAGCTCTTGAATACTGCGTGGGTCTGGGCCTGGATTTGTAGCTGTGGAACTCTGTCCTGTGTGCACCCAGAATGAGGAATGAGGTGTCCATTCGTGTCACCTCCGCTGGGGTCATACGTGCTTACCCATAAGTGGAGCTTTTATAGACTTGGGTAGAATAGGTATCACTTCTTCTTCCACTAGGATAGAGCTTAACCTCTGGGCACAGTCACCTTCAGTCGTGACCGTGTGCCCTGGTGACTTTGGCGTTTCTATTCAAACTTGACTCCTTTGCCAGTGCCCTGAGTGGTGTACATGTCTTATCCTTGACCTGCTGATAGGGATGAATGAAGAATTCTTGTGTTCCCCTGTAGGATCTGAATCCAGTTTGGCCCTCAGGCTGGTGAATGGAGGTGACAGGTGTCAGGGCCGAGTGGAGGTCCTGTACCGAGGCTCCTGGGGCACCGTGTGTGATGACAGCTGGGACGTCAGTGATGCCAATGTGGTCTGCAGGCAGCTGGGCTGTGGCTGGGCCATGTCGGCCCCAGGAAATGCCCGGTTTGGTCAAGGCTATGGACCCATCGTCCTGGATGATGTGCACTGCTCAGGACACGAGTCCTACCTGTGGAGCTGTCCCCACAGTGGCTGGCTCTTCCATAACTGTCAGCACAGTGAAGACGCTGGGGTCATCTGCTCAGGTGGGCCTTCAAGGCTTTGGGCTCCCTCTGTTGGGGTGGAGTGTGGTCAGGAAGCAAGGTCTCATTCTGCTCTCATTTCCTCACTTGGAGCTTTTCCGACTTTTCCTGTATTTCTGATATCTCCTTAGTTCTCTGCTAAGAAACAGCATAAGTCATTGCCACATTGCCAGGTATTGGGTAGGTCAGAGTGGGCAATGGACCAAATTGAAATAAGGGTCATGTCTTTGTTCACCTACTGAGGCAGCTCAAGGAGTAAGAGAAGAGGAAAGCGCTGGACCTTTGTCTTTTAGTGCGGTTGGAAGGGAATAGCCGGGGCCTGGTTATTCATGAAGAAAGAGGTTGATTTGGGCTGTGGCCTTGCAGCTGCATAGGAGCACGGTGCAAGCATCTGCTTGGCTTCTGTTGAGGGCCTCAGGCTGCTTGCACTCCTAGTAGAAGGGAATGGGGAGCTGTTCTGGGCAGAGGTCACAGAGGAAGCAAGAGAGAGCAAGAGGGAGGGCCCAGGCTCTTTTCAACCAGCAGCTCTAGCTAGGAACTAAAAGAAGACCTCACCCCTGACCGGGGAGGGCACTAAGGTGTTCATGATGGGTTGGCCTCTGTGACCCAACAGGGTGTATCAGGCCTCACCTTTATACTTGGATTGCAATTTATACTCCAATTGCAACATGACACCTGGATAGGACAAGCGTCCAAACTATTGCACACTGGCTCTCCAGGGTTCCATCTTTCTCCTACTGAAAGGTTTGGGTGAGGGTGAGGCAGATGAAGCACATATAGGGGGATTGGTAGAGGGACTGTCTCACTGGGAGGAGCCCAGAACCAAAGCCTTCTGCTGAGAAGAGGAGATTTTCTGCTGATGCCCAACAAGGAGGCATCAGAATGGAGACACAAGGTTGGGAGTGTAGATCTGTGTCCGTTGGTGTCTGGCCTGGGTTTTGGGAGTGTGAATGCCTGACTGCAATTCCCTCCGGAGCACTGCAGTCTTGCGTGTGCAGCAGGTCTGGTGTGGGGTGGGCAGCCCCTATAATGCCTGCTAGGTAAAGCCTTGTTATGAATGCCTGTAGGCTGGGCTAGAAGATCATAGGCAGGACTTTGGCTTGAATGGCCTCTTCTTCCTTGCTGACTCAGGAACTGCTAAGACGTGCAAGGGAGAGGGTTGGTTTTATGTCAACCTGATTAGTACAGGCAGACACAAAGTTTATCACTTTGGAGCTGGCAGTAGTGGACACAATCTGTCCAGATGCCTTCCAAGGAGCATCTCTGTGGGGACATGCATGGTGATGCCCCACCCTCTGTGTTAGGGGGCTAGGATGGACTGAATGTCAGACTTTCCCAGTTCCTTCCACCTTTGTTACAGTTTTTCCAGCTTCTGTGTATTCATCTAACCTGATCTCCTCTTTCTCACAGCTGCCCAGTCCCAGTCGACACCCAGGCCAGGTGAGTCCCCAGTGTCCTTCCTTGGGATGTCTCTTCTCTTTCTGCACAATTGTCCTTTTCCCCATGTGACAGAGCCCTCCTTCTGATCTGTGTGGATACTCTGGGTCATACTGTTTCCCCTGCTCTATAACTGAGACCCCAGCATGGCGCTTCTTAGCCAGCCATGGTTAAGAAGGTATGACCTTTCAGAGAATTAAGAGTTATTACCAAAGTCACTGAATAGGCAATGTCAGTTGAAACCTTAAATATGACTTTGTCCGTGGACAAAAGCAGTATCAGTGCAGGCCTGAAACCTCCATTCCTCACTCATTCAAACACCCCCAGATTCTGCAGGGCCCCATCTGTAGCCAGAAAGGCAGAGGCCGTACTCGGGCAGGGAGAGAGATAATAGACATTTTTGGTGCCTCCATTTTCCAGGAGAATTTATACTCTTTTGGGCGGCTCCCCGATCCTTCCAACATTTTAGCTCCAACTACAGTTGGAGTCTCAGCAATGGTGTCATATGTGCCCATCAGTCCATGTGTCAGTGGATGGGGCAGGCTAACCCTTTGTAGCTGAGAAGAGGACGTCCCACACTTCAGAGGCAGGAGGGATCCGACTAGTCTCCAGTGAGGCCTCTGTCCCTGGCTGTGCTCACTGGACTGAAGACTTGGGCAGACACA